CTCAATCCCAGGACCCTGGGATCATGACCTGAGCTGAAGGCAGACGCTTAATGACTGAGCCACCCAGGCGCCCTAGAAGAGATTCTTGCATGAAATCGAAGAGGAGACCAATTGACTTCTCAGGCAGTGATTTCAAAATCATAGATCAGAATCACCTGGGGCGCTTGTTGAACACAGATAACTGTCCAAGAGACCTACTGAATCCCAAAGTTCTGGCAGTCAGGTTCACTAGACCATTGTGATCCACAGCTTTCAGGAACCACTTCTCTAAGGCCTTGCTATTCAGAATGTAGTTTATAGACCAGCAACATCAGCGTCACCTGGGAGCATGTTAAAAATGCAGGATTTCAAGCCTCATGCCAGCCCTACTGAATCTGCATTTTAACAAGATCCACAGATGATTAATAAGAACATTAAAGCTTAAAAAGCATGCTCTAGGAGGAGGATCTCAAACCTTAAGGAAGCTTAGAATCACCTGGAGGGCTTGATTAAACATAGATTGCTCAACCCTGTCCCCAGAGTATCTGATTCAGTAGGTGTGAGGGTGAGGCTTGAGAGTTTGCATTCCTAATAAGTTCCTAGAAACTTCTGCGTCTGGTCCAGTGTCTGTACTTTGAGAACTACTGCTATAGGGTAAATCAGTTTTTAAAGCCATGAGAAGATGAGTTCTAATCATCCTTATTAGGTTAGCCTAGATTCAAAAAATAATCTCTAGGGCACCTGGCTAGCTCAATCAGTGGAGCATGTGACTCTTGATCTCGGGTTGTGAGTTCGAGTCCCATGTTGGGTGTAGAGATTACTTAAAAAAATTTTTTTAAATCTTTAGATAATCTCTACCCTAGTGTTGAGCTTTGGGTAGGGTACAGGAAAAAGCAGTTAGCTTAGTTCTTTGCTGCTATTTCCTCTTCTGTCCCCTTTTACTCACACGTGTCCTCTATTTTTGCAGAGTTTGAAAGATATCAACAATATGATAAGGCAGGGTGAACAGAGAACCAAGAAGCGAGCAATAGCCATAGATGGTGATGCAGAATCCCCTGCCAAACGCCTCTGTCAAGAAAATGATGATGTTTTGCTTAAACGACTACAGGATGTTGTCAGTGAGAGAGCAAATCATTAATGCCCTTCCTATTTCTATGATAAAAGCACTTTCAGGTGGCAGAAAGTTGGGGGTTTTATCCTTTAAAACTTTCAGCCCTGTAGATGGAAAGTATCACTGAGTTACATGAAAAATTGCACCAAAATTATATGGGTTTTTTTTTTTTACATTTATCCAAAATGTAGTTGACAGTGTATTTTGAGTTGGATTGGAAAGCAATATTTCAAGTGCCTTTTATCCTTTAAAACTTTCAGCCCTGTAGATGGAAAGTATCACTGAGTTACATGAAAAATTGCACCAAAATTATATGGGGTTTTTTTTTTTACATTTATCCAAAATGTAGTTGACAGTGTATTTTGAGTTGGATTGGAAAGCAATATTTCAAGTGCCTTTTAAACATTTTAATAGTTATAGAATCTTTTAAATGACTATTCCTTGGTTTAGTTTTTAAGATGAAGTAAGGAGATATCTCATAATTTTTTAGCTCACTTTTAAAAATCAAATGTCTCCTCCTGCGCTTTGTAATATGAAGGTAAATAATCTGTTTTTGGTAAGCATGCTTTGAGATATCTCTGTTCTTAATTTAATATTGAGTAGAGGGGCACCTGGCTGGTAGAACATGAGACTCTTGATCTCAGGGTCATGAGTTCAAGCCCCATGTTGGGCATAGAGATTACTTAAAAAATTATATATGTATATTGAGTAGGGTTTGGTTCCCATAGCACCTGGGCCAAAGGATGACACACTAGCCCATCTCCGACCCACTGTGGCAACTCCACATCCAGGTGCCACCACCATTCTGGGTTGTCTAGCTCTCTTCTCATGCCCTTTCTCTCCTTGAGCATAAGCAGATTTGTACCTGAGCCCATGCATTACTATGCTCCTTGCCTTCCAACCCTAAGCCTTCTTAGCTGATGTCACAACCTAATAAAAGGGGTACTTGGGTGCAGCTTTCCAAAGAATCAGCTGTTCAATATTCACTTTTTCTAATGTGTTTCCAGAATCTGGAAGGACATGAATAAACCATTCTTAATTAATTTTGAGAAAGTTATGAAATGTATGTTTTTTAAACTGCAAACGTTATTTTTTTAAATACAAAATGTTTAACTTATATCTAACCCTGGCTAATTTGAGTTAGTCTAAGATTTGGCTGTAAATTTGTAATTGCTATTGTCAGGAATTTTATTTTTAAATTTTAAGAAAAGTGATTTTGGTCACATTTTACTTTTCTGAAAATTACATCCTCATTTTTTGTGTAGTATCTACACATGTTGTAAGCCAAATAACATCAAATTTGTCTGAAGTCCTTGTATATATTTTTATGTAGCTGTAACTATTGTGTCATTTTCATCTTCATTATTAATGTGGAAAATATACATGAGCATTTGTACATTGACTATATAAGAAGCTCTGGATATGTTTTTATCAATTTTTAAGACAATATCAGTGTACATAAAACAGCTAATAAAACATTGGCGTTTTTGAGATATTGAAAGACACTGTGTGACTAGAAACAATTCTGTAGCCATCTACAACCTATACCTTCTTAAATAACCTGTTTTATGTCTTTTAAATATCAGTGTAACTTAAAAGTTAATGTTCTGCAGTGGACATGGATGTATGAGTCTGGCATACAGGGCAAACAGGTCTTAGCTAGAAGTATAAATTTGGGAATTAGCATATTGATAGTAAATGGAGATCATATTAAATTGTGTGAAATGGGAGGATGCTATCTTGTGAACCAGTTTTAATAATGCACTAAATGTTTTTGTATGTTTATATGTTCATTCTTCTAAAGAGTGAGCGCATGGCTTTTTTTCACATTCATAAAGGCATCAGTGACAAGCAAAGTTGCAAAGAGGACCTGGGACAAGGGGCACCTGGGTGGCTCAGTTGGTTAAGCGGTCCTGGGATCGAGCCCCGCATCGGGCTCCCTGCTTGGCGGGAAGCCTGTTTCTCCTTCTCCCACTCCTCCTGCTTGTGTTCTTTCTCTAGCTGTCTCTCTCT